TTGGGGGGGTGAGGGGAAAGGAGTGACTTTCAACTCCAGAGCAGTGGCCACAGTTACCGTGGTATTTCCCGAAAGTGCACCGTTGCCATGGCATCTCCATGACGACCAGAGCATCTCATTCATTATCCCCAACACCTTGGCAGGGAGAGCTGGGCCTAGGGCTGGGAGAGCACAGTGGAAGCCTGGCTCAGGACTCGAGGTCTCGGTTGCTGAGGCCCCCTCCCACTGTCCCCTGTTGTAGCCAAGGTGTCCCTGCCAGGCTCTGGAGCCGGCCGCTTCTGTCTCCTGGGGTCTGGGTTCAGATTTCCGCTCTGTCAGGGACTACCTGTGTGATTTTGGGCAAGTAACTTAACCGCTCTGAGCCTCATTCTCCTTGACGGTAAATGTAAATGATGACAGTAGTAATTAAAAGGCTTAGATGAGGTTAGGTGTGTAAAAGCGCTAAACATAGTGCCCAGGCTTGTGGTAAGTGCTTGAAACGTGTAGCGGTAAAAATAACAATGATGATGATTGTGACGTTATCACTGTTGTTATTATTTTTATTATAAAAGGCCCTTAGGGAGACTCCGCATGGAGGAATGAAAGACCAAATCTGAAGTTAGGAAGGAAACCCATTTGAGTCAAGATTTAGCGGTTTTCTGTGTAACAGCAAGTCCTTTCGCTTTGGAGCCTCAGTCTCCTTATCTGTAAATTGGGAGTAATAACAGCTCATTATGCCTCATTCATACCCTGAATACTTAATTAGAACCTATGCCTGGGGAGAGTGGTGGGGGTTGCTGCAATGAATCAGACTTGTCCCTGCCCTTCAGGGCACCCAGCCATGTGGGGAAAGAGGAGAAATGAAATTAGTATTTGGGGGGGGGGGCCCTCCGTGTGCCAGCTGCCAGCTGCCAGGCAGGGCCTGCCCCAGCAGAGGTCAGTAAGTCCTCCTCCTGCTCTGGGATCTGGTGGCTCCAGGGTGCAGAGCTGTGTATGGAGACACCTCGAGTCCACTGTGCATGGACCTTACACCCAGGTGCACCCAGGGACTGGGCAGGAAGTCAAATGAAGGAAGGAGGAGGTCAGCTATGGGACTGTGTGGCCTGTTGGGATGAGTGCCCAGTGTCAGCAGAACATGCTCTTTTTAAAGAAAAGTTAGAAGTTCTAACTTATATGTGAAATCTCCTGATTTTGAAATATTGATAATGAATCTCAAATTTAAGAAAAATGCTGTGCTAGCCAAAGAATGCACGTTTGCATCCTGTTTTGGCCTGAGGGGCCTGGCTTTCCGGTTCTGCTCTGTGGAGAGGGGATGGGGCCAGGCAGAAGCCTGAGGAATGGGACTTGGGGGCAGGAAAGGGGGTGGTGCATGGGGATGACTTCAGAGAGATGATGACATTGGAACTGGGGTCTTGAAGGATGAGTAAGTATCCCAAGGGGGAGGGGGAAGCATTCCGGCAATGGGAACTTGGTGAGCACAGGCTTAGATGCATGACCAAGACTGGTGACTGGCTGGGCGAGGCTGGAGTTAGGAAAACCGCTGGCAATGTCGGCAAGACCCAGGCAGGGCCAGGGCAGCAGGGGAGGGAGGGCATCGAGACCTCCGCCTCCAGCTGTCCTGGAGGACTTGGTGGCTCCAAGGGGATTAGAAGCCCCCCAGTTCCCCATCCTTGAACCACGGGGGCCCTGGAATGCAGGCGCGTGTGGAGGGTCTCGAATGGCTGGCTCCAGGCCCTCATGGAGGTTGCAGTGGTGAGGGGCAGTGCTGGAGGCTCCTCTTGCCAGCAGCGTCTCACCCTCCCCCGCCCCCCACTTCAGAGTATTTGGCTTCTCTGGGGACAGGCTAGTCAACCCACTTTCTTTCTCCCTTTACCCTCTCCTGGGCCTGGGCTTTGCCATGGCTTCCTCCCTGGCCTCCTGGCCTCTTACCTCTCTGACCTTTGCCCATCCGTGTGGCTCCAGGGAAAGGCCACGGCCTCTGAAAATGGGGATTTGGGCTTCCGAGGACTGGCTGTCAGAGGCTTGAGAGAGCATGGAGCTGACTTGACCGAGCTTTGCAGGCCCAGTTCTTGTCCACACTGGGCCGCCATTCACCAAGCAGCCAACGTGCACAGGGAGAGGGGCTGACCCCAGTTTGGTGCTGTGTGCCCAGCACGGTCTGTGTGCTTTTTATGTGTCAACGCACGTAATTTTCACAGCTCTGGGAGCATGTCAGACTTTGCTGTTTTACAGATCAGGAAACTGGGAGCACCGACAAGTTAAATAACTTGCCCAGAGTCACACGGCTGCTGGGAGGCTGCGTGAGTGTGAATGAAGCTGCCTGCTTCCAGTCTGCGCGTAACCGCAAGGCTTTCTTATGGTAGTGCTTTAGGCCCTCGGGTGGGTTTGAGGGTATGGGTCTGGATTCCTTGAAATTGTTACAGGATTTTGCAGCATATATGTGTATTCCTTATGGGAAAATGTGGTCAGATTCCCACAGGGGTCTAGGACCCCCAGATGCCTGAGACTGCTGGTTGCTTCATTAACAGGGACACTGAAAGTCTGTTCATGCAGTCGACCAAAGGCCAGCGATCATAGCATCCAGGACTGCAGGGGAAGCACGGTTGCGTGGCTGGAGTGGCTAGATGCCCCCAGGCGTGGCAGACTGGCAGGGCATCAGCCAGGCGGCTGTACCTCTCCACCCACTATGCTGTGGTCCTGGACCCAAGGCCGAGAGGTGGGGCTCGCTGTGGCCACAGGGCAGAGGGTTGCCCTTATCAGTGGGAAATGGGATGCGGTTGCAAAATGGGAATAAACAGGACTATCACCCCAGCCCTCCAGCTGTTCCAGAAAACCTGTTCCCTCTTGCTTTGCTCTCAGCTAGAGTGGCAAGGAGTCCCTGGAAAGCTCGTCTGGGTCTCTTATCTCCGAGCTGAGGCATGTGCCTCTCCCTATTCCTCCCCACCCGCCCCCAACTTGTTCTCCTGGTTATTTCAGGTACCACTTCCTCCAGGAAGCCTTCCTTGATCCTACTCCTCCTGAAGAGTTAAGTCCCCCTGAGTTCTCTCAAATGCCCTTCTCCCACTACCACATTCCTCCCCCTGCATCGTAGCTATCTGTTTTCTTGGCTACCTTGGGTTCCCCATGGTGCTGGCATATAGTAGGGACTGAATTGCAGAATATGGGAGGTGGGAGAGCCCCTCTGAGATTGACCCAAGCTCCTTTCTGACAGGCAGGAGGCCCAGAGAGGGGTAGAGGTGTGCTCCGAGTCACACAGCATGTCATTGGCAGAACTGGGAGCGGCACGGGTGTCTGGGATATATTCTCATTTCCCACTCCTGCCTCTTGCTTCTGAGCACATCTTCTAAAAACATTTTTTTTTTTTAAATTTTCACAAACGTGGTAAACGATGATTGTAGAAAATTTAGGAAACAAAAAGAAGAAAATAAAAATCATTCGGACATAATCATCGTTAACATTTTGGGCCTTTTGTTGTTGTTGGGATTTGGTACCAGTTTTTGGCTTACACATAACAATTTTTAACAGAAATGTGACCACGCAGACTGTTTTTATAAACGTTTTCCACTTTAACAACATGTGTGGCAATTATATTTTTGTGTCAGTAAATGTCCTTCTTCCACATCTTGTAGAAGTTGTAAGTGGCTGCCTGGGATTCTGTCTGATGCTTGCATCATAGTTGCTAAGGACAATCCCCTGTTGCTGGGCATTTGCTATTATGAGCAGCATGGGGATTCAGATTCTTGTGGGGAAATCATCACACATGCCTACAGTTAAAACCCCTACGATAGTAAGTTCCTAGAACTGCGTTTGTTGGGTCTCTGGTTTGCTGGGGCCACCAGTCAGGACACCAGATAGTCTCTTGGGCCTGGGAGGGATTTTCAAGATCTTCATCCCCTAGTCTGGGCCTGAGGCTTCAATTCACTCCCTGGCTATGCCCACCCAGACCCTCACACCTTCTGTCCCCATCTCTCTCCTGCTGGCTTTCAGCACCTACTTCCACTCATGTGTAAGGTGGACTGGGGGCTGTAGGTTAGTGGGTGTGCGTGTGTGGTCTCCATTGACTTTCCAGTGAGACCAATATGGGTGGCCTGCTCTGGGTGGAGGATAGAGCTGAAGGGGACCCAGGAACCCCAAGTTCTGGCTGCCTGATGAGACGGCTGAGCCCATTCAGAGAGAGAAATGGGTGGGGGGCGCTGTGGGTGAGGAGGAGATGGTGAGGATGGGGTGTTCAGCCGTGATTTAGAATTCCGCCTCTGACTCCCAGGCCTTTGGATGTTTGTTTCACTTTGTCCTTCCTGCTTCTGGGGGTCTCTTGGTCTGGTCTTGGACTCTGTAATTACAATGAATAGCAACCACCATTGCAGACACCATGTTGTACCCATTATGCACATTAGGACAGGGGTCTTAAGCCCTGAGCCTCTTGTGAGGCAGGTACCGTTGTCAGCCCAGTTTCACAAGTAGGGAAACTGAGGCTCAGAGAGATTACGAGGCTTGTATGACATTGTGCAGCCAGGTTGGGCAACAGTGCTTGAGTGTGGGCCCACTGAGGTCCGGTCCTGTCTGTCCGTAGTCAGCAGACCCCCCAGAGCCCACTCTCTGACTTTTCACCTCCGGCTCTTCTCATCTCTCCACAGCCTTGGCCCCAGGGGCCCCAAGGAGCGAGCGACATGTGGCAGTCCCGGGCCGGCCCAGCGTCCTTCGGCCCACTGCGCAGCCCCCCCAGGAGGCCCTGACGCCCTGGGGGCACTTCTCCTGTGCACAGGACCACGTGGGGGTTTGCCATGGTGACATAAAGGGGCACAGGGGAAGGAAGGAGCGCGACCGGCCTGCAGACTGTGCCCCTGGCTGGGAGGAAGGGCCGGGGGCCCAGACCCTCCACTCCTGCCACCCACTGAGGGCTGCGCTTGCTCAGTGTCTGTGAAACTGTTGCTCAGTGGACGACTCTGGTGTCTCCTCGTGCGTGGGGCCTGGGGGTGGCCAGGGCAGGTGGGCCTCCGGCGGCCGAGGTCTCGGGGGCCAGGATGCCTGCCCTGGCGCGCCTCCGGAGGCTGTGTCGGCACGTGTCCCCGCAGGCTGTCCTCTTCCTGCTGTTTGTCTTCTGCCTGTTCAGTGTTTTTGTCTCAGCCTACTACCTGTATGGCTGGAAGCGGGGTCTAGAGCCCTCGGCGGATGCCCCTGAGCCAGACTGTGGGGACCCGCCCCCTGTGGCCCCCAGCCGCCTGCTGCCCCTCAAACCCATACAGGCAGCCACGCCCTCCCGCACGGACCCACTGGTGCTGGTGTTCGTGGAGAGCCTCTACTCCCAGCTGGGCCAGGAGGTCGTGGCCATCCTGGAGTCTAGCCGCTTCAAGTACCGCACGGAGATCGCACCGGGCAAGGGGGACATGCCCACGCTCACCGACAAGGGCCGTGGCCGCTTTGCCCTCATCATTTACGAGAACATCCTTAAGTATGTCAACCTGGACGCCTGGAACCGGGAGCTGCTGGACAAGTACTGTGTGGCCTACGGTGTGGGCATCATCGGCTTTTTCAAGGTACGCAGCTCTGGGGGGGGTCCCAGCAGTTCATAGCTCTGGCTGAGTTTGAGTTCCCATTTTAATCTATACTCAGTAGCTGAGTGTCTGACTGTTCTCATCTGTAAAATGGGTATAATGGCAACGCCTACCTCCTAGGATTGTCATGAAGGAGAAGTGGGTGAGTATCTGTAAAGCAGTTGGAGCACACAGTGCCTGCTGTCTACTAAGTGCTTTTTAAATACTAACTTTTCGGGGTGCCTGGGTGGCTCAGTTGGGTAAGTGTCTGCCTTCAGCTTAGGTCACACGATCTCAGGGTCCTGGGATGGAGCCCCACATTGGGCTCTGTACTCAGCAGGGAGTCTATTTCTCCCTCTGCCGCTCCCCCCAGCTTGTGCAAGCTCGCGCTCGCACTCTCTGTCTCTCTTTCAAATAAAATCTTTAAAAAATACATTAGCTTTTATTAGGAGCACATGGCAGGGGGATTGCCCGGCACACAGCAGGGACTTGCCTAAAGGAAGCCCCCGGAATGGTTGTGAGGTGGGAGAGGCTTGGTGCCGTGAACGTCATGGCAGTCTTCCCAAGGGACGAGGTGTGCAGATGGGCAGATGGGCAGACCAAGGTGTGGGAAGGTTACGTATCTGAGGCTAGGTAGCCTGGAAGTGGGAGAGCCAGAATTTGAACTCCAATTTAGGTGGTCTGTGCTCTGGATCCTGTGCTCTTTCCTCTTGGCTCTGGTGGGCTGTGGCATTTACGCACCTCCTGAATAGAGCCATTTTGCATTGGAGGAAAGAGGAGAAAGAAATCCCAACGGGTAGGTGAGCTGCTCTGGGCTCCGTGGGGGCACCCAGAACGACTGCTGGGATCAGAGTCTTTGCTGAAAGTGTTGTGAAGAAGCTGTCCATGGGGAGCAGCTGGTTGGGGGAATCTAGAGGCTCTGGCTTCAAGATGGGCGGTAGGGACTCTAGGTAAGTGCTTGGGGACATTCAGCAAACATTTACTGCATGCTGACTGTGTTCCAGGTCCTTTGCTAGGCACTGGGGACATGGGGGTAATCGAAGTGTGCAGAGTCACTGCTGTCACGGAGCTGACATTTCAGTGCAGTGGGGTGGGGTCAGTGACAGGCAATGAACAAGTAAACACACCATGTGGCAAATGGCGATAAGTATGAGAAGGAATAAAGCCGGGAAAGGGCACAGGGAAGTAATGGGTATGGGCAGTTGACACTGTTTTTGATAGAATGGCCACTTGACAAAGTGACTAGAAGGAGGGGAGACAAAGAGTCACATAGTTCTTGGCACAAAGGGTCTTCTAGGCAGAGGTGACGTTAGTAAGTGTGCAGGTCCTGAAGCAGGTTCTTTGTTGGCATGAGATGGGAGAGGAGCAAGAGTGGGTCAGAAGGGGCGCGTGTCTGCCGGCGGGGCACCCTCTGTCCCCAGGCGTTCGTGAGCACCCTGTGCCCTGGACCCTGTGCTCGGTGTGGGGAGGAGCCTGGTCCAGAGGAGGGTTCCCACGGTGTGTCCTTTCCCACATGAGTGCAGCAGGATGCTCTGCCACTAAAAGAAGGTTTTATGGGCCAAGAAATTGAAGGCCCTTAGAAGTCCTGCAGTGGAGCAAACCTGGTGAGATTTGTTCCCCAGCTGGCTTGATCACAGAGGCCTTTATTTCCCAGAGCATCCTCTGGGAGACGCTGGCCTGGTTTATGGCTTTTCATCTGCCATAACCTCAGACTGCCTCTGCTGTCTGTTCTTTCTTTTCTCGTGGACTCTTCCATTCCCTGCCATGAACTTCATTAAGTCTGATCCGGAGCCCCAGGCCTGAAGAACATGACAATGGCTGATACTTACTGAGGGCTGCCCCAGCCCCGTGCACTGTCCGTGCGCTTCGTGTGAAGAATGAACTCACCCAACACCCGCCAGCCATCCTCTAAGGGAGGTGGATATCGTCCTGATTTTAAGAGAAAAGGAAACTGAGGCAAAGAGGGGTGAAGAGATGTGTTTCCACTCCTCTCTCTAATAAGCACAGATCCAGGATTTGAACCCAGGCAGTCTGGCTGCAGAGGCTTTAGTCATAAGCACCATGTGATGAATCCAGGGCCTCAAATGCCCCTTTTGGAGTAGAATTTGCATCAGAGCACAGAACTCCCATAGTCTCCAGGGACCAGGCAGTGGGCACGGTTGGTGCACCAGAACTTGGGTCCTGTCTAGCCCTAGTTCTTGGCTCTACAGAAGGTGGACATGAGGCCCCAGGGAGCAGAGGGACAGGCTCACTGTCTCTCTGGGGGGTCTGTGGAAGTTCCAGTCTCCATGCTCTTCCTACCATATCCTGTGAGACAGGACGGCTGCTTGGTCTTGAGCCGGGGCCTGTGACTTTCTTCTCAAACAGAGCCCTCTGGTGGTCAAGCTCCATCTTTTGGCTCTTTGTGCAAGGCCTGCGTTGGTGCTGTGCCTTGGGCCTGTCAAACCCAGAGGGTCTCTGCACTCCAGAGGTCTGGAGACACTCGCTTGCCAATTGCACAGGTGCTGGATTCCCAGATCAGTGTTAGAGCAGGGGCCAAAGAGTCCAGACCCTTGTTCACATCTTTCTGTCATTTATAAGCAGAGGGACCCGGGGCAGGATCTTCAACCCATCTGTGAAGTGGGGCCATGTTGAAGATGACAGTGGGTGGCACCCTGAGCCACCCATTAAAGGGCAGCTAGTCTTTCTTTGTCATCTCCACGCTCAGCAAACACAGCTGGCAGTCGGTCGCCTCTGTCTGTCTCGTGGCTCTGACGGGCACGTGCCCCTGGGAGGTCCTGGGGGGTCAGGGCTGATCTTCATCGATAGCCTTGGTTCCTGACATCGTTGTGTCTCAACCTCATGACTCCAGGGGCCCTGGAGCTGACCACATCCTGGCAGGGGACTGACAAGGGCTGCCCAACCTCTTTTATCGCACACTTACTATGTGCCAGATGCTGAACGTATTACTTTGCAGGCCTTATCCTGGGTAAGTCTCGTGACCACCCTGTGAAGGAGGCATTTTATTTTCAGGAGTAAATTGAGGCTCCAAGCAAAGTAGCTGTTTGGAGTAACATGGCCAGTAAGTCAGGGCTGAGGTTAGACCACCACACTCCTGCCTTCCAACCCAGTCACGCACGGGCATGTCAGTGCAAATGGACGGACGGATTGGGGGACTGAGTCCCACAGAAGACCCCCTTGGGGGGGGGGTCCCAAAGTCATCCATCTGGTTACTAACAGAATCTGTATTAGGCCTCCCGATTCCCGGGTCAGGGCCCTTCCTCCCTCTACCTGCATGATTCCGTTGGGAGATTTGGTGCCTCCTGAGTGGGTCCTCAGTGCTGAGGAACAGGAGGGGTTCCCCTCCCGTGGGCTGAGGCCTATAGGTGGGGTCATTCTCTGCAATGCTGAGTCTGCTCTCCATTCCCTTCCCCAATTGGCTCCTTTGCATTGCTGGCTGGCTTTCTGCCTTCCTCCACATCCCCCAGCTGGGCCGCTGGCTGAGCTGCCGGGGCCTGGCAGTCACCTCAGGAATGGGGCTTTGAAATGGGATCCCCCAGTGCCTGCCAGCCAGTGTGGCCTCCCAGGCCACAGCAGGTGAGGGACAGGGCCTGAAATGTCACTGGGCCCCCCCGCTTTTGCCCCCACGTAGCCCAAGTAGTTCCTGTCCTTGGCCGGTGATGGCTTAGGGGTCCTGTGGACCTCAGGGCTGAGTGGAGCGGCCTCTCAGGCTGGGGCTCTGCATTGGGTCTCCACTCTCGAGGCTAGTTGAGGACAGGGTGGGCTTTGGCAGGTACTGGTATGTGGAGAAGTACATGCAGGTCCCTTACTGCATTGTATGAGGCCAGAGCCCTGCAGAGCCTTTGTGGGAATTAGAAACAAGCACTCCTGTGTGAGGGCTCTTAGCAAAAGACACCCTCTGCGCACAGACAGCTCCACTTGGGGCACGTGGCTCCGTCCTCAGCTGAGTGTCCTGTGCAGTGCTCACCTGGCCAGCTCTCCTGGGTGGCCCTGGGTCACCCTCCTAACTTCCTCTCCAGACTCATTGGAGGCCCTCATTTGGTGCTCTTTGCATTTCCCTACCCCACTCATTTCCACACGGCAGCCAGATGGATCTTTTAAAAATGCCAATTGGAACCTGTCATCCCTCTTTGAAACCTTTTGATAGTGTTTCTTTGATGGCTTCCTGCTGCCCCTTGAAGCCTCCAGGATCCCAGGTCTGGTCCCAGCTGACCTTCCTGCCTCATCTCCTCCTCTGCCTCTTGATCACTCTGCTGGCCTCTTGCTATTCCCTGAGCTCTCTCCTTCCTCAGGGCCTTTGCACTTGTTGTCCTTTGAATGTGGCCCCTACTTTTCCCTAGTTGATACTTAAGCATTCTTTAAACCTTAGTTTGAAAGTCCCTTCTCTGGAAAGTCTTCCTTGAGCCAGCTGTGGCCAGTTATTGACTGTTCTAGAACTATGAACTTGCTCTGTGTAGCATGTGCCTCATTGAAGTTTTGTATTTATTTCTGTGATTTTGATTGCTTTCTCTCTTCCCTGCTTGACTTTAAGGTTCATGAGGTCAGGAGCTATGTCTGTTTTCCCTCGCTGTATCCCTGGCACGAAACATAGTAATAGTTGTGGAATCAACAAATGAAACCCATATTGAACAACTGTCAGGGGCCAGGTACTAAGGATCTGTCTGTCCCTTTTTATTCTTTTAAAAAATCCAGTTAAGTCATGGCTCAGTCCGTTAGGCATCCGATTCTTGATTTCCACTCAGGTCATGATCTCAGGGTTATGAGATCGAGTCTTGCCTCTCTCTCCCTCTACTTCTGCCCCTCTCCCCTGCCCCCGCCCCCTGCAAAATAAATAAAAATAAAAATCCAGCTCACTCATCAAACGTGTTTGCTTCTGGGTATCAAGCCAGGGGCGCCTGTTTAGGGGCACCTGGTTCCAAAGGTGGAAATGATATAGCACCTGCCTTCGAGAGGGCCGACTAGTGGGAGAGAGGCCCTGAACAGATAATGCAGCGGCCAAGGTAAAAAGTACTGTGGATGAGGCTCTAACCTGGTTCCAGGGAGGCCGGTGCAAAGGAGGGTTTTTGGCACTGGGTTTTGAAGGATGAACAGGAGTCTGTCAGGTGAAGGAAACCGAATGGAACTGGCACAGGGACAAAGTCCAGTTGTACCATATCTGGAGCAGGTGGCTAGGAAGGGGCAGGGGTTGGTATGAAGGACGGGGGCTGTGAGTCTAGGGAAGAGGAGAAGGGGTGCTGTGGGTACTGTCTGCAGATCCCACATAGCTGGGCAGCACCAGGCCCCAGAGGAGAAGGGAAGCACAGGGAGCTGGGCTCCTGCAAGATGGTGGCCTTGGGGGTGCTGGGTGCATATGGAGGATTGGGGATGCTATGGGGCACCCCCAGTAGATGCCTCCTCTCTGATCTCTTCTACATTGGCATCCACCTAAGATTTCTCCCAAGGAGAGGATGGTGTAGCAAGAGCCAGTTGGGAGAGCCATGCAGAGGGGCCTGGTAGCTGGGCATGTGGGCTCCAGGGGCAGATGGTCTGGCTGGTCACTGGGGCTCCTCCTGGCCCCATGTGGCCGAGGGTAGCCTCAGCTTCCGCCCCCATGAAGTGTGATAACACAGGCACCATGTCCTGAGCCTGGTATGGGGACCGAAGGAGCAACTGTGGTGCTGCCAGCCCTGACCCAAGCACTTTGCCAGGATGAACATTCATCACCCTCTAGCATCCCGTGAGGAACATTTTACAGCAGAGGAAACAGAGGCACAGAAAGGTTACATAACTTGCTCGAGGCCAGGCAGTCTGGGGGAAGAGTCTAGGCTCAGAGCTGCTAGACTTTCCACTGTGTGATTTTGGGTAAGTTACATAACCTCTCTGGGCCTTTGTTTCCTCACCTGTAAGATGGGAATGACAGTGATGCCTCTTTTGTGGGGTCACTGTGATGATTAACAGCATCCCTGCATGCCAAGTGGCGTGACCTAGGTTCCTGGCTTTGGGAAGTACGTGGTGCATGTTTCCTGGTATATTGCTGGGACCGACAGAGCTGGGTCTGTGCAGCTAGGTTAGTACAGGGCCAGGGATGTGATAAGGCCCCCCTGAATGTCCGAGAACACTGTTGACACTATTGTGACCAGTCCCCACCTGAGATTGTGCGTTCCCTGGGGGCTTCTGGATCTGACGGCTCTGCTGCCCTCTCCCTGCCCTCCTCCCCGGCCACAGGCCAACGAGAACAGCCTGCTGAGTGCGCAGCTCAAAGGTTTCCCCCTGTTCCTGCACTCTAACCTGGGCCTGAAGGACTGCAGCATCAACCCCAAGTCCCCGCTGCTCTACGTGACGCGGCCCAGCGAGGTGGAGAAAGGCGTGCTGCCCGGCGAGGACTGGACCGTGTTCCAGTCCAACCACTCCACCTACGAGCCAGTGCTGCTGGCCAAGACGCGCTCCTCCGAGTCCATCCCGCACCTGGGCGCGGACGCCGGCCTGCACGCTGCGCTGCACGCCACCGTGGTCCAGGACCTGGGCCTCCACGACGGCATCCAGCGCGTGCTGTTTGGCAACAACCTCAACTTCTGGCTGCACAAGCTCGTCTTCGTCGACGCCGTGGCCTTCCTCACGGGCAAGCGTCTTTCGCTGCCTCTGGACCGCTACATCTTGGTGGACATCGATGACATCTTTGTGGGCAAGGAGGGCACACGCATGAAGGTGGAGGACGTGAAGGTATGGCCGGGGGCTGCCAGACAGGTCGGGTGGGGCCTCGCCACCTTCGACCCTTGGGGTTCCCCGTCGTGACTTCGCGGTCTGCCTCTCCCCAGTGCTATGTGCATCCCCCTTCCTCGGCCAGGCAGCTTCAGCGATTAGACAAAAGTGTCACTGGAAATTATATTGAAGCCTTGAATTTTGGGGTGTGGAGCTCAGGAAGGTATCTGTAGTGGGAGAGATCCCACTGTTGAAGCCAAGGGATGGGAGCTCTGCAGGGTTACGTATCTGCCTTTTAATCCAGATGCGATGTTTCACTCTCAAAAATGTTTATGTCAGTCCTAGAGTTCCCACAAAACTTTTTAAACAAGAATTAGAGCTTGAATCGTACACAGGCATATTCTAACCGAGGTCTGTATAAATTGCAGAATGGATGTGTTTATTTCAAAAAGTGTTTACCCAACTAAACTGTATGTAAAAGCATTTTGCAGACCTCGAAATTTTACACACACGCATCACTGCTGAAGAGAAGCCTACAAATGAAGACCATTAAGCAAGCTTTAAAATGCACTTTCATCTAGTCTCTATTTTACTCAGAGTTCTTTGCAAAGAGAACGGAATCGCTAGAAATCAGTACTGGTTGCCATAAATAGAGGGCAGGCACAACAGCAGATCCAAGGAAAACAAAGCCAGGGGATTCAATTCTATAGAGCTACTGCTGCCTGATGACCCTGTCCTCCCTTAGGAGATTAGCAGGCGTTAGAACATATTAGCACCAAATCCAGACCTCGCTTTGATGTTCAGGGGGCAAAAGAGACTTCGTGCTCTCCTCCCAAGTGAGCCCTGCTGTGGGCACTGTGTTCCCTGTCCTCCTGAAGTCACGACTGGGGTTGGCCCTGGGGCCTGGGAGGAAGGCAGAGGGGCAGGAGTGAACGCTGTACTCTTCCTTACACCTCCGGAGGAGAACAGCAAACGTGTTGGGAGGCAGGCACTGTGTGGAGAGTCAAGACCCATTGGACCCTGGATTGACTGGAACTCATGGGCAAGTCCCTTCCCATGTCTGAGCCTCAGTGGGGAACTCCCAAGAGGGGCGATAGGAAGTTTTCAGGCTGTTTTCTCACCAGGGGTGGGGGGTATTAGTTTACAGAGGGGCAGGCTTGGAGCCCTCCCAGCTCCCATCTCATGGGACGGGGCTGTGTTGCTCTGATCTGCTTTGCACATCGTGTCTGCTCCTGGGAGTTCACGTCCTCGAGGGCTGTCCTGTTGAAAGCAAGTGTTGGGATGACACCTGTTGAGGCTTTCCGGCTCTGAGGCTTCATGCGATGCCATCGCCGACCTCTCAAAGTAGATCGCTCTGTTTGCTGCTTAGGGCGCTCTTCTGCTCTCTCCTGCTGTAACCCTAGTGTTTGCTGCTGTCCAGGTGAGTCCTTGAGACTGGTTCAGCGTTGATCCCACGAGGAAACCAGGCTGCCAGGCTCGCGGCGTCCCCCACAAGCCCTGAGGCTGCCCTGCTCACTTATATTCCCCACTTTTGCAGTGAGGGATGAGAGCAGGTCGAAGCTGTATCTGTCCCAGGATACTAATAGCGACACCCTCTTCTGCGTGCTCAGCTCCGAGCACACTGCCGATTGCCTCGCCAGCCAGGGTCCCACTTGCCTTAAACATCCTTGTGAGTCTGAAGGGGCAGAGGTTTCCTCCCTCTCCCCGCCCCTTAATCCCAAGCACAGGCTACCACTCAGCCTTTCTTCCAGAGACATGAGCATCGCCCGGTTAACCTGGACAGCGCTGGCATGCGGTGTGGGTTAAATCACACAGACAGCAGCTGCTTATGCAGGGCTTGGCCAGTCCAGGCTCTGCGCTTAGCCCTTCCTGTATATGGCCACAGAGGATCCTCATAGCAGCCCCGTGAGGCGTGTATCATCCTAAGTCCCATTTCGCAGAAGAGACCACTGAGGCTCAGAGAGGTGATGTAACTTGTCCAGGGCCACACGTCTAGAGCATGCATGTCTGTCAGGTAGTGCCTGGCCTTGGTGAAATGCTAGTGGGGGCCCCAAGACTGTCCGTCTGCAGAGTGGTCAGACAGCACGCTCTCGCAGGTGTCTTAGCAGCCTTGTGTGCTTTGTGCGGTGTGGGGACTTTTGGAGTCCTGACTCCAGAGTACAAGTGTGTGTATGTTCTGCAAGTGTCAGCCTCCCTTTGTTGACTTGCCCAGCGTGGGGTGCGCCATGCTTGGGGACATCGCATGGCTGGGGACGCCATATGTCTTTAGAAAGTCAAGATCCTGTGACATCAGCCTTGACGCTCACCGGGAGAGACCCTCCACGTTTGACGGACGAGGATCTGAGGCTTTCAGGGGCCATGGCCAAAGACATAGCCATGCCACCATTCTACATTGCTGACTAAAATGTCAGGCAGTTTGACACGCAGGTTCTCATTCAATCAGCCTAAGAGGAATTATTACCTTCATTTCCATACTTGGGGAAACTGAGGCCTAGAATAGTCACGAAGCCTTCTCAGGGGCACATAGTAGAGCTGGGCTAGCAACAGGTCTTCTCTGGCTGGAGGCCTGGGGCAGGTGGCAGCTCAGGGCTGGCTTCATGGGTATGGGAACCCCGCACACAGAAGGGGCCTGTACAGGGTTAGTGCTCTGCCCTGGCCTTGATATTTGAAACGATTTTGGAGCAAGTGTCCCACATTTTCATTTTTTGCTGGGCCCTGCAGACTCTGCAGCTGGTCCTACAATAGTAGGATCTTTCTGGGCCCTCAGTGGGAAGAACAGAGCCCCTGGCTTTCACCTCACCCTCTTCTTCCTCCTCTGCCTATCCTAGGCCCTGTTTGATACGCAGAATGAACTACGCACGCACATCCCAAACTTCACCTTCAACCTGGGCTACTCAGGGAAATTCTTCCACACAGGTAAGCGGGCCTGGCTCGGTACCCAGGAGCAACTTCCAGGGGCCCTCAGCATCTGGATCCATGGAGAACTGTGCCACGAGGGGAACTGGGGGGTTGATGGGCCCACGTTAGGGCCACATTTGACCCTGGTGGCCTCCCCCTGATCCGGCAGCCCACAGACAGTCACAGCCCCCGGCAGAGGGCATTTGGGGGCAGCAATAAGACAACGTAAGCCCTCACTCACCCCTCCCTGCCTTCAGCCTGTGCTGTCTTTGGGGGCATCTTCTCCCTCTTGTCTCCCCCTCTCCTCCATCTTTAAAAATTATTTGTACTATGCCTGCTTAAAAAGGTAATCGGGTGAGTTTTAAGAACACCGCAGAAATACATCGCATGGACAGTGAGAGTGCCATATCATTGTTGCCGCCCCAGAGACGGCCACTGCCATTTCACTGTCAAGTCTTAAGGGTTGAGGTTGAGGGTGCAGGAGGCAGGGTTCATGCCTTCCCTCTTCTTTCGGGCTCTCCCAAGTTCCTCAAATGCTGCCCTTCTGGGCTGAGCAGGAGGGAAAGACTGTCATTGTAGGCCAGACTCCCTTACTCTTGGGCCACCGTGCGGAGAGCCTCTTTGCAATTCTAGGAAAAACCCTAATACTCTGCAATTCTGGGTGGGGGGTGGGGGGAATTCAGCAACAGGCTCCCAAAGCCACGTAGCAATAGTGCGTCGTCTGAACGCATTTTTTGGATTCTCGGTCCTCAGCATTTCAGAGGTAGTTTGAGTCATAGTATGAGACAGTCCTGTCTGATACAGAGCGGCTCAGATCGTGACGTAGAAGACAGATGACAAACGGCCCAGTAGGCAGACAGGAAGCGGATCAGAGCAGGCCTCCCAGGGCTGGGAGAAAGCTCTGGGACCGCGGATGGCACGCATGGGGCCCCAGGGCCCAGAGAGGAGAAGACTTGGCCGCAGCCTCCCGGAGGCCGGGCTGGGCTGAGCGGCCCGCGCTCTGGCTGCAGGTACCGACGCCGAGGATGCCGGGGACGACCTGCTGCTGTCGTACGTGAAGGAGTTCTGGTGGTTCCCCCACATGTGGAGCCACATGCAGCCGCACCTTTTCCACAACCAGTCGGTGTTGGCGGAGCAGATGGCTCTGAACAAGAAGTTCGCTGTCGTGAGTAAGATTCCCCACGGGGCGGAGCTGGTGGGGTGGGCTGGGGCTGGGGTCCCGACCACTGGCCTCTCGCCACTGTCCGGCAGCTCCATCGCACAGCATTTCGTCAGGGTCTTTGCAGCCCCTGTCTCTCTGAACCCTTGCAGAGACCCCGAGAGGCCATTATCGATACTGTCCCTTTGATCTAAAACACCAAAGCGCGGGGACCCCCAGCAGCTGGGAGGAGGGCCAGCAGGGCTTAAAGCCAGGCCAGTTTCTTTCCTGAGCCCAAGCTCTGTCTTCAGGCCAGAGTGGGAGGCTCAGGGAAGCTGGAGCTGGTACTCGGGGAGGAGGGAATGAGGCCCAGTTTCGGGCTCAGCCTGGCCCACCAGCCAGTCAGAGGCTGCACGACAGGCAGGAAGAGCCCCTGTCCTTGCTCCTCACTCCAGGGTGCTGGAGGGCATGAACACCGACCCGGCTGAGAGTTAAGAGTTCCCCAGCTTAGTCAGTCCCTCACTCCGAGACTCGGGGCCCAGTCCTTTCCCTCCCTGGGCCTCAGCTTTCCCATCTGTACCACGAGGGCGTGGACCCACTGCCCTGCCATTCTAGCCTCTGATTTCTCTCTCCCATGCTACAAAGGGGAAATGAGACCTGGTGGGGAAGGAGCCCCATGCTCACCGTGGCCTGGGCCTCCTCTCCCCAGGAGCACGGCATCCCCACAGACATGGGCTATGCGGTGGCCCCCCACCACTCGGGTGTGTACCCCGTGCACGTGCAGCTGTATGAGGCCTGGAAGCAGGTGTGGAGCATCCGCGTGACCAGCACGGAGGAGTACCCTCACCTGAAGCCGGCCCGCTACCGCCGCGGCTTTATCCATAACGGCATCATGGTGAGTGGGCCCCCGCTGCCCATCTGGGGAAGCATGGCCTGCATGCTCGGGTTAGGGTCGCAGGCCAGGCTCTGCTGTCCCCTCGGACATCCAAGGAAGGTTCTCCATCTCAGGGAGGATCGGCTGCCGGGCTGGCCCTTTCCTGAGCTCCTTTTTAGCTTTCGTGACAGGGCATTGGGAGCGGAACACTTTTAAAGGGGCCTCAGGTGAGGATTGGGAACAGGCCTCTGTCTCCTTCGTTTGCTTACTTCAACACTTTTAATGAGCTTCTGCAATGTTCAAGGCACTGGGGACGCAGAAGTGTACAGAACCAGTGAAGGTCCCTGCCCTTGTGGACCTGACATCCTAGTGGCAGGAGATAGTGCACTCACAGATGTGTGACATGCATGATGTAAGGCCAGTTGGTGATGGAGCAATGGAGAAGAGTCAGGCAGGGAAGGGGAGTGCTGGGGAAGAGGAGAAGTCATTTTAAATAAGGGGAACAGGAAGGGCCTTCCTAGGAATGAGCCATGTTGCTATATGAGGAAAAGCTTTCAAGGCAGAGAGAACAAGTGCAAAGGCCCTGAGGTAGGCAGGCTTTGTGCTAGGTGTATTTGAGGGCCAACTAGGAGGCCAGTATGGCTGTAGGGGAGTATGGGGTGGGGGAAAGGAGGTTAGAGGGGTGATGGGCCAGCCACATCATGTAGGGCTACATGAAGCCATTGGATGGACATTAGCTTTTTGTGAATGGGAAGTTTTTGCATACAGTGTTATTATGATCAGGCTCATACTTTTAAAAAGGTTTCCCTTGTTCTGGCTGCCTTGAGTTGCAGAGACCACAGGGGACAAAGTGGGAAACAGGGAGACCAGTTGGGGGGTGCCACTTCAGTCTTCCAGATCAGAGAGTGGTGGTTCCATCAGGGTGCAGGGTTGAGACGTGATCAGATTCTGGACTTAATCAGAAGGTTGAGCCAACGGGATCTGCTAATAAATTGGAGGTAGGGTGTGGGGGAGAGAGATGAGTCAGGATGACTCTAGGGTTTTGGGCCTGAGCCACTGGAAGGATGAATTGTTGACAGTCCAGATGGGGCATGTGTGGGAAGTCCAGATTTATGCTTTCATCTGTCCATCTGTCTATCCGTCCACCCCTCTCTCCTTCCCTTCCTCCACTGGGCTCCTCAATACCAGGCATTCATATTCTCTCTGGGGAGGAGGTGGTGACCAGACAAGCAAGTTCTCTGCTCTCTTGGGGTGCCGTTTTATGAGAGGAGACAGAATCGACAGTTAAGCCAGCCGGTCACTGGGAGCATCCCTGGGCAGGTTCTAATGCTGTGAGGGGTTTGAGAGAGTGACCGGGAGGACTGCTTTGCAGAAGGTCAGGGACCCTCGCTGGGCAAGCGTTCTCACTTGCCTATCTCTGTTACTTTGGGGCCCGCTCATTTTGTTAACAGAGTAGCGGCGAAGTTTGTAAAACGGCAAGGGCCCACGGGCTCACTTGAGGGAATATCGCAGGCTGCAGAAGGTCACTGGAGGAGAGGACCCCCAAGAGTGGGGGCTGTGTAGTCACATAAGAGGGTCAGAGCTCTCCTCTGCCCCATCCCCAGGTCCTCCCGCGACAGACCTGTGGCCTCTTCACGCACACCATCTTCTACAATGAGTATCCTGGTGGCTCCAGCGAGCTGGACAAGATCATCAACGGGGGCGAACTCTTCCTCACCGTGCTCCTCAATCCTGTAAGTGCTCATAGCCCGTGGCTGGGGGTGAGGGGCCGCTGCTGGACAGCCTGTCTGCAGCCAGGGCTGGCTTTCCTGGGCCTGGGGAGGAGGGGGTGGCAGCCGGTACAAGGGCCGGGAGTAGGGAAATTTGCCCTACACCCCTGGCTCTCGCCCTGCTCTGCTGTGTGACCTTGGGAAGAGAATCCGAGTTGTCTTTCCTTTTTCCTTCCAGAATCTTGTACTTCAGTGCAGTAATGTGAGCGTTTTTGTCTGTGTTCTTTTTCCAGTCTTTGCGTGTGTGTATAAATGTATGGATGTTAGGTACTAACAGAAATAGTAAGTCATTAATCCATAAACTGTATCTGTATATATACATTTATCTTGAAGTACATATATTTTAAACTATTCATCTGAGCTTTCTGGCCCTCTCTTTCCTTATCTGTCAAGTGGAAATAATCATCCGTGCTTTAATACCATTAAGTAGATACTAAGCAGTGGTGTTACTCAGCTTTATGGGATAACTGAGCCCTCCTTGTCTTCTGTGAACACTCCACTAAAAAAAATACAGAACACGCATATGACTGCACAATAGGTCAGCTTCCCATTTCAGTGATTGTGCTAGTTGGTGGTCAGTCAGCCAGACCTGGGTTCACCTGGCTGTGCCTAAGCCAAGGTCACTCAGCGAGTTTGCTAACGGCCCCAGGGAGCCTCAGAATGGTCATAGAGTGACTTCTGCAAGCTGTGGCCTGACCGGAAGAGTCAAAAGTGGGGTGGAGGGGGCTCAGATGCTGACCGGCCCTGCCCACCCTCCCGTGGAGCAGATCAGCATCTTCATGACGCATCTGTCCAACTATGGGAACGACCGCCTGGGCCTGTACACCTTCAAGCACCTGGTGCGCTTCCTGCACTCCTGGACCAACCTGCGGCTGCAGACGCTGCCCCCCGTGCAGCTGGCACAGAAGTACTTTCAGATCTTCTCCGAGGAGAAGGACCCGCTCTGGCAGGTGGGTGGGTGCGTGGGTGCGGGGGGCGGCCTGGGTGTCTTGTTGCAGAGATGGAATGCCCACCACTGCCAGGCATACACACCAGGCGTGGGCTTGGCCCCACACTCTCAGTCACTCTTGAGTGCAAACTCTGGTGCGCTCTTACATGGGCACACTCGCATGTTCTCGCACGCAGGTATGTACACACCCCCCCACAGACATGCATGTGTGCGCACTCAAACACACCTTCTGAAAAAGCATAATAAGGCTGTAAAGGAGCAGAGTGTAGATCAAGGGCAGATCAAAGCACCTGCCTGGCCTGGTTAGATTCAGTCCTTTATGTCCCTTCGCATGCTAGAAGGCTCTGTACCACGGGAAAGGGAACTGATGGGAGGGTTTGGGGGGGCTCTGCCCCGGGGACTCTCAAAATCTGGAAAGAGAAGCTAAGCTGGAATGGAAGCCATCTCATAGCTCAGACCAGGGGTCTGCAGGCCAGGACTCATGGGCCAGAGAGGGCCTGCAGTCTGTGTTTGTAAGTGAAGTTTTATTGAAACCCATCCACACTCATTCTCGGATGTACTGTATAGGGCTGCTTTCATGCTACAACAACGGAATTGAGTAGTTGGGACAGAGACCAGGTAGTACTCGAGCCTAAAAGAGTTACTAAACACTTACCCAAGATTTACTAACCTCTGCAGAAGAAGTTTGCTGACCCCTGGTTCAGACGCAGCTCACCCAGTTAAACTCAGCAGATGCCCGTGAGCTGCTGTTGCGTGCCAAGCACTGGGCTGAGTGTTTTGCTAGGACTAACTGGAAGTGGTCCCTGCCTGCGAGCAGCTCAGTGTCCTGAGGTGGGATGTGACAAGGACACACATAGTTACCCTACCTGCCAGCGCTGTAAGAGCCACATATCTGTGTGCAGTGAGAGTCCATTCATTGGGTTTGGGCCTCCCCCCTCACATTCCTTCCATTGTTGTTTTAGGACCCCTGTGAGGACAAACGTCACAAAGACATCTGGTCCAAGGAGAAGACATGTGACCGCTTCCCAAAGCTCCTCATCATTGGCCCCCAGAAAACAGGCAGGTCTCTCTCTTCTTGGCCAGGGTCCCTCGCCACCTGCTGTCTCAGCCACAGAATTCCAGGACCACCTTGCCCTGGTTCCAGTCCCCGACAATCTGCCCCCCTCTTTCCCAGGAACTGAGAATGAAGTTGGGATGACTATGAATTGTTGGGATGAATGTGAACTGCCTGTCAGTATGGAAGTGGGGAGAGGGTGGAGGACGGGCGTAGAATTTGCTTATCAGCCCTGAACCGCAGCCTCAGGGAGCTCTCTTCCTGGGCATCTCTGAGTCTAGGCAGAGAAGCCCAGATCAGCTGTTCCACACGTTTGAGCAGTGCCAGGCAAAACTGGTTCAGGGCAAAGAGGACGGCAATCGATTAGTCATGTCTGCCAGAGGTACAAGGGGGAGGAGTAATGATATGCTTGCTAAGTGCTTGCCGTCTACACATACTGTAAAGCATGAATGGGTATGCCCATTTTACATATAAAATAACTTGAGGCTCAGAGAAGTGAAGTGACCTCCCCTGACACAGTTAGGTAATGACAGATCTAGGTCTTGAACCCTTATCTCTCTGACCCCCCCAAGCTTATACTCTTAAAGAAACTAAACTCTAGAGTTTCCTTCTCCTCCAAGATGTCTTATTATAGCCTATAAATCATAGACTCACGCATAGGAAAGGAATGAACTCTCTGAAGGAAGGGGTAGGTCCTGTACTGTCAAGTAGGACAGACAGTGTGAATGAGGGAAGGGCTCCCAGAAGAAGACATTTGAGCCAGATCTCTTAACCCTTCATGAATTTCCCGTCAACAGCCTGCAGGGTCTAGAGCTCCCTTTTCTCTGAGCTCCTCCCACGTGTCAGAGGACAGAGGCCCAGACCTGGAAATCTTCTAGTTCTGGGATTATGAGACGACCCTAATGATGGCATGCCTCCTGGAGTAGAAGGGTTGGAAGGATTCTGAGGCCAAGTTCTTGGTTAGTGTTTAGGATGCCGTGATGGATTAATGATGTCTACAGTGGATGCAGGAGTTGCGGTTCCCATATGCATGCCCTGTATTTGCTGTCCTGGCTTTCGTGAAGTTAATTTGGATTGCACAGGTGTAGAAACTAAGCCCCGGAGAAGGCAAGGGACTTTCCCAGGATCTCCCCATGAGTCATGGAGAGCTTGAGGCAGAATCCATGATCCCAACTCCATGTTTGTGCGGGGCTGAGCCCTGGTCTCAGCTATCTTCCATCCCTGCAGGCACCACGGCCCTCTACCTGTTTCTGGGCATGCACCCGGACCTCAGCAGCAACTACCCCAGCTCAGAGACCTTTGAGGAGATCCAGTTTTTTAACGGCCACAACTATCACAAAGGCATCGACTGGTAAGTGGCCCTGTCTGTCCAGAGCTGGATGGGAGCTTGCTGGCATGGAGTTTGCCCTGGAGGAGGTCTGCCATGCTCATGGCAGGAAGCAGCTGGCCCTTGCTCACACACAGCTGAAGTTCCTGTAAACAGGGACAAAGCTCAGTGACCCTTGAGTCATGATGTTGGAGCCTTGTCACGGGCGGGACATTTGATGAGGAAGCCCTTTGCCCCTTTCCGTCACCTCCTGGGGTCAGAGGCTGCTGGAGGTGGGAGCCAGCACCTCTCTTGCTTATGGGAAAACCATCTGAATCCCAGAGGAGGACAGTGACTTGCCCAAGGTCCCAAGAGCTGGGTACAGGGCAGGGGCTAAAATCCAAATGTTCTGACCCCGAGAGCTGGCCGAACTTTGCTTGCCTCACTGTGGAGCAGGTGGTGTTCTTGTGAGCCCTTCAGAGGTGGCTTGCCGGCCTGTGGGGAGTTACCTGGGGAGGTGGGAGGTGGTAGCAATCGTAGCTTTTTTCCAGAACCTGTCACCAGAGGTTATGGCGGTAGGGTGGGGGTGGGGCGCGTGGGATAGTTTTACGCTCCAGTCATTTCAGTTTGCATCTTTCTCCACTGTTCGCTTTTTCTTACCCTATCCGTCTATTACTCTTATTATTTTCGTGTCAGTGGTTTGCCTGGGTGGAGAGATTATGGCCCTTCTTCTGTTGGTTTCTGTACTTTTTCTCTTTCTCTTTTGTCTATTGTCTGCCTGCCTAGCTGCCTACCTGTCTCTGTCTCTAACACGTGGACTATCTCTGGGGTCCCTGAGTGTCGCCCTCTGTCAGGTTTTAGGGAGATGACATGGTACAACACTGTACATTTAACCTCAGCAGGGCCTGGGGCAGCGCCCCATCAGCAAGCACCCCAGCCGCACATACATGCATGAACACGTTCCTAGCAAAGACTGTGACTCTTTACACTAAGATTAGTAGGTCCGGTTTTGCTGCCAAATGGCTTTGCTCTAAACTTGAGGGAAAACGCTTCTGTTTTCAGAGCTGTCTCAATTTCGGTGTTACAGACAATGGACTGTGGGTGTACAGATGCTATTTCGTAAAGAAAATTCAGGAATTGAAACTAACAACTCTGTATGTTGTAATTAGAATCTGAAAAATAAATAAAATTCAGAAATAGGAGAGAACTAGCAGTTCCTCAGCCCCATTCCCAAGATTTTGGTTTTGTAGGTAGGTATAGGGCGGGGTGAGGAGCCTTAGAAGCCCCAGGGCAGTTCTGACGAAGGGGTTTCTGGGACCTCCCTGGAGTAACCCTGTCTCCCAGGATCCAGTAGGGATCCTACACCCTTACCTAACGTGGGCCTGTGGGCTTTGGTTCCCATGAAGCCCTGAAGTTGTCCCTCTATTCTGTATGAGTAGGTGCCCCTGGGAGGCTCTGGAGTGTTCATTTAACTTCCTGAGGGGTCCTGCAGAGCTGGTCCCAAAGGGCTGGAATGGGCATCCCTTGGGCTGGGATATGGAAGGTTCCTCTGGAAGGCTGTCAGACTGACCTACGTGAGGCCAGGGAGGGGTGTTCTAGAAAGTGATATTCTAGGCCAGTAAAGAAACCCTGTACTCGGGATGGGGCAGAGCCGGAGGGGGCATCTCTTGGGTTCATTCAGGCTCTTCCTGGGGTCAGAGGTGTCCCAGTTTTCCCCGTAGAGCAGTGAGTTAAGGCCCTGTCATTTTAACTAGGAATACCTCATTCAAGATTCAAACACACCACGTACCATCCTATGCCTTACAACCCATATCACTTCCATAAGTCTTCCTATCCTCCTGACTCCAAGGTCCCCCTAAAAGGAATGGATTCCACAAAGGGAGACTGCCCAGTGGCCGACCATCTAGAATCCCTACCAGGAGCGGGTCATTGGGGTCAGCGTGCCTGCTGGCTTTCTGAGCTCCAACCCCCAGCGACCTCTCCCGGCGCATTCCTCCGGCCCCCTTCTCACGAGTCTTGCCTGTGAGCTCTTCCCTCTGGGCTTCCTGCAGGTACATGGAGTTCTTCCCCATCCCCTCCAACACCACCTCTGACTTTTACTTTGAGAAGAGCGCCAACTACTTCGATTCGGAAGTGGCGCCCCGGCGGGCGGCTGCTCTGCTACCCAAGGCCAAGGTCCTGACCATCCTCATCAACCCAGCGGACCGGGCCTATTCCTGGTACCAGGTAAGCTGGGGCTGGGGTGGAGCCCTGGGTAGGGGCATGGGGCTGTGTCCACCACTCAGCTACTCATACATTCATTCAACAGATACTTACTAAGCCCACTTGCCCACCCTGCTAGCTTCACTGGGGTCCTGCCTCTGATTCTGACACCAACAAGGGGTGGAGGCTGGTTCCACTTTGATGAAAGTGAGAGTGGGTAAACAGTGATCTTACTAACTGGCCTCCTCGCTAGGCACGAGGTGGGGTGGGAGTGGGGATTCAGAGGGGGATAAGGCTTAGGTCTCTGTGTTCATAGTAGGGGATGCAGACACCTGATCAGGTAACGAAGTTACCTGACTGTGGTCTGAGCTAGAGAAGGTAATGACTCCTCATCCCCACTCGACAATGTAAGAACTAGAACTTTCTTTAACTTCAGTGACCTGACTTAATTTCTTCTGAGCACCCATTCCACTAGGCTTACAGGAAAGCCTAGGATCAGGCCTTTTGTGAGGTTTCCTCCCCTGCCTGCTGGTCTTCCTGGGATTCTGGTCCAGGGCCAGGATGTGGGGGGTGAGTAGCTCGTCCACCTGCTGGTCCAGGAAGGCCTCCTCGGGCCTGGCCACTTTCAGCAGCTCCCTGCAGCCCTCTGAGCCTGTCCCTTCCTCTCTGGGGCCTCACTGCATCCTCCATCCTGGTGGCGGGCCAGGTATAGATCCTACTTGCTCTCTGCTCCCCAAACTGCCCACCCTGAGGGATGTGTGAGCCTCGGTGCAGTGGGGAGGCCTAACAGTATGACCCCTGGAGGGCAGGCTCCTGGTCTCTGGATGGGACCAGCCCATGGCATTATCAGGTGGCTCAAACATGGCATTTTCTGATTCCTTTCCTATCCCGTCTTAGTCTGTTCGAGCAGCCATAATTACAGTATCGTGGACTCGGGCTTAAATAACAGGAGTTTATTTCTTATGGTGCTGGAGTCTCCAAGGACAGGATGAAGATGCCGGCAGATTTGGTTCCAGATGAGATCACTCTTCCTGGCTTTAAACAGTTGCCTTCCCACTGTGTCCTCACAAGGCAGAGAGGGAGAGAGCGAGAGGAAGAGCGGGAGAACCACTCCCTCTGGTGTCACTTCTTACAAGGGCACTAACCTCATCATGGTGGCCCCACCCTCATGACCTCATCTCCCCCCCAGGTACCTCCCCAAGGCTCCATATCCCAAAACCATCATACTGTGGGTTAGGGCTTCAACGTAGGAATTTTGGGGAGGGGACACATACATTCAGTCCATAATAACACCTTCTAATTTCTACAGAGGACAAATTCTCAGTTTAGAATAAATGGTTCTTAAGTCCTTTCTAACGTTGCTAAGCTCTGTTTTCAACAAAAAGAGTGCAAGCTTTGGGCTCAGGACCTGTAGCAGACATTTATTTGTATCTGGCTGGCATTTGCGAACATTATTTTTATTGTATGTATGAATGATCACCTTCTTTATGTGACAGCTGAGTCTGGTCTTCTATTTATGGAGGCAGTAGTGAGTTTTATTTTGAAATAGTTTTATGTGAATAAGAAAGATGAGTCAGTGTGAATCAAAGTGTGTGGACCTCGGCATACACAGGTGGCTTGTGGAGATGGGAGACATCAGAGAGGTGACGGGAAGACAGTCAACATGTGGAAACTCTGATCTAGTTCGACTCCTGTCTTGCAAAGGTGGAAAAACTAGGGCTCTGAGAGGTCATGACTCCCCAAAGTCAAAGTGTAGTGAGAGGCAGATCCGGGACTTGAACTTGAACTTGAACCAGGGCTGCTGGTTCCGGGCAGGGTCTTGGGGCCCCTTCGTGGCTGCCGAAGAGAGCCTCTTGTTTTATGCCCCCATGTGACACACTGACCCTCTTCCCTTACCTGCAGCACCAGCGAGCCCATGATGACCCAGTGGCCCTGAAGTACACCTTCCACGAAGTGATCACGGCTGGGCCTGATGCGTCCTTGAAGCTGCGGGCCCTCCAGAGCCGCTGCCTGGTCCCCGGCTGGTACGCCACCCACATTGAGCGCTGGCTCAGCGCCTTTCACGCCAACCAGGTAGCTGCCTATCCCTGGCCCTTGGCGGGGGTCGGGGGGGCACTCAATAGTTCTGGCTTGTGGCAGCTGGCAGAGAGCCTCAAATCTCTTTTGTCAGTCATGAGGCCCGAAATGTCCTCATTGGCGAGCTAGATCTTTGGGGTCTTTGAAAGTTTCGTTCTTGTTCATCCCAAGGCTAATGTGTGAAAATTCCCTGAGCCCATGTCCTGTCACCAGGCTCTGTGTCCCTGAGGGGACCCCAAAAGCCCTGGGGTAGGCTGCCTTCCTGGGAGGGGTGTGGTGATGTGGAGAGCCTGAGCAGAGAGGTAAGCAGGGCCAGATCACATGAGGCATTTTACGGAACCTCTTGGAGAGTTGAGGCAGGAGAGTGACATTGGGCCAGAGGCTTAGAGAGAGGCAGAGAGGAATATGGTAGGGTTGTGATGGGCAGGCAGGAGTGGAGTAATAGCGTCCTCTCTAGGAGAGGGAAGCTGGCAGAGAGCAGGGAGTTGGACTGCAGAAGCCTGAGGTGTAGGGACACCTGCCATGCAGGAGTGGGAGAGGAGGCAGAGACTATGGAGTGAAGAGTCCCCAGTTTGTAACCATGGCTGCTGACCAGAAGACCGGCAATCTATTTGCCCTTGTAGTAAATACAGGTTCAGATCATCCTTGTCTCTTCTCTCTTTTCTCCAGATTCTGGTCTTGGATGGCAAACTGCTGCGAACAGAACCTGCCAAAGTGATGGACACAGTGCAAAAGTTCCTTGGGGTGACCAACACTATTGACTACCACAAAACCTTGGCGTGAGTGTCTTGGCTTTTCAGTGGGGTGATTTTCTGAGCAGGCACCTGGACCCAAAAATGAAAGGCCTGAATAATTATGGAGGAGACACAGATAAATTAGAGTTAGAAAGTGTGCATATTCCCAATGGCTGTTTAGTGGAAAAGCTAATATTAATATGATTTGGGTCATATTAATAAAGGTATCAACTCAATAAAAAAGGGAGGTGGTAAATATGTTTCACTCTGGTCAGTCCCACCCCTGGGGTTTTCTTTTCAGTGTGTGCTGAACATTTCCAGAATCTTTTATTAAACTAACTTAGACTAACATTAGGCAGCCCTAGTTCCCACAAGGGCTTCATAGCATTAGGTCATGATTTAAATGTAATTTCAGGAAAAGGAAGCTACAGGTAATTGTTGATGGATTATAATCGCACTCATGCAGAACCTAGTACAGGTGCACTGAGAATGCCCTCCCAAGATGGGTAGAGGCCAGCCTGTGAGGCAGGAGCTCAGGGCTAGGGAGTAATGTGTTAACCATGGTACACAGCTGTATGGGGTGAGGAGGTGGTCTCAAGAGAGGGAGGAATAAAATCACCTTCCCTGGTTACCTTCTTGGGAAAGTCATGCAGCAAGAATGTCCCCTTTTCACTGTCTTGGAGGTAGAAGGGGAAGAAGAGAAGCAATCCTTTACTTCGAGGCAGACAGGAGCAGCAGCTAAGGGTGTGGGGCTGTTGGCATCAGAGATGCCTGGGTTAGGAGACCCATTATGTCTTTAGCTGTGTGACCTTGGACAAGTGTCTTAGCGCCTTCAAGCCTCACTTTCCTCATCTGTACATTGGAGATAAAGGTGATGACTCCTGCTTCCCGAGGTCCCCTGTATTGCATGAGGTATGCATGTGGAGCTCTTAGCTCCATGCCTGGCATGTACTGATGCTCAGAGATCATTTAAGTCTTCATTATCCTCATCTTCTTCCTTTATGCCTGCCCTGTGACCCAATCAGAATTCCCTGTCTCCTACACCTGCCAAATGCGAATTCTGCTTTCCGGCTGTCCTCATGCCAGAAGCATTCAGCCCTGATGTAGGGCTGAGTTCTGATGCCAGTGTGCCTCCCCTCCCCTTGGCAGCTTCAGATCTCATCTCCTCCCTCCCTTCAAAAAAAAACTTTGAAGGCCCAGCATGACTTTGCATCCTGAAGGCAGTCTGGCTCTGTCATTTCTGAAGTTTACTCTAAAAGCCAGAACTTCCCAGTGATGGATATGCTTAAGTACTAGTGCAGACATTGCATTTCTTGAAAATCCGACAGTTTATTAGAACACACACCCACAACAACGCCACTAAGCTTTTGCTTCCCTGTTGGGTTCTTGGGTGAAAAATGGTGCTCAGCCCCGAGTAGGAGAGCGCTCGGGGAAGGTATCCTCGAATCCCGAAGGATGGGTGGTAGATGTTCTTCTTCCGGGTTGCTTGCCGGAGGGACTCAGGCTGCCCCACCAGGATGAGAGCAACTCAGCTCGTGAGCTGCTTTCTGCTGGGAAGAAGGGGGCAGGCGTGTTTAGTGTAGCCCAGGGCCAGCAGAAGCAAACCCCAGCCCCCACACATCTATCTATCTGTGGGTTCCAGAGTGTGCTTAGGGGAGTGTGTTGTGGTCCAGGCTCTGCCACTCCTGGGGCCTGTGAACTTGGCCTTAAGGTGGGAAGGGGATGGGCTGGGCTGGCTCCCATCTATAGGCTTTCCCCACCTCCACAGGTTTGATCCAAAGAAAGGATTTTGGTGCCAGCTGCTCGAAGGAGGAAAAACCAAGTGTCTGGGCAAAAGCAAGGGCCGGAAATACCCAGAGATGGACCTGGATGTAAGTGCACACACCACCTGTGGCAGCTGGATCCCGGGGGCGGGGGGTGTCCCTGAGTGGCGGGGATCCTCTCTCCTCTTGACCCTGCACTGAGTACATTAACGGCCTTGGCCTTTCTTGGATGATGGTCTTACAAGGAGGGAATGGAAGCTGGGACATGGTGGGTTAGAAAAGATTTAGTCTAGTGACTATTTATGACCTTCTGCCTAGGGCTGAATGCTGTGGGCTTTGAGGATGGATCAGACATGTCTTTGCCTTCACTGGGTGGGGGCATGGGGGTGGAAATAAGTCACACACACCAGGAAGAATACAAGGCAGGACGTGCTTCCTGCAGTAAGAGAGCTGAACTCGAGTGCTAGCGGATTTCCAACCAGAGATGGCACTTGAAGCTGGGAGGGGAACCAGAGGGGGAGGGGCTCGGAGCTGGGCCTGCGGCCGGACAGCGATTGGTCCGAGGTATGGATGGATAGGGGGATAAGCCTTCTTGCGGGAGAGAATGGCATGTCCGAAGGACGTAGGTCAAAGGTCATACACCCTGCCTTTCAGTCCTGATTTTAACTAATTCCTTCTTTCTTCCCAATCACAAGAATTTTGACCTTGTGGTCTATGTTTTGGTGTCCTGCCATCTCGCTTTATTTCGGAGGCTGCCATTTTGAGGATGGTGGTAAATAGATGATAGGTGTGTGGGTTGATGCTGACAGTGGTAGATTTACAGAGGGGAGAGGTCCCTCTAGAATCAGCACTTCCCTGAGATCTGAACTCTTCCTCCTGTTCCAGTCCCGCGCCTTCCTGAAGGACTATTATCGGGACCACAACATCGAGCTCTCCAAGCTGCTGTACAAGATGGGCCAGACGCTGCCCACCTGGCTGCGGGAGGACCTCCAGAACACCAGGTAGCCGCGGCCACCACAGCCAGACTGAACGTTTGTGACGGCCTGGACGGCCTGCCGCATGCTGAGCCAGACTGACCCGCAGAGTGGGGAGCTGGGCCTGGGCTGGCCGGGTACTTCCAAGCAATACTCAGCTGAGGCCCAGGCAGGGCCAGGAGAAGAGCCCAGGCGGGTCCACAAGCGCCTGGGAGCATCCAGCGCTGGGTCTGTGGCCTCCGGGACCTCCCTCGCCACCAGAGGTCCGTTCCGTGCACGGCCCTCCGTGGGGAGGCCACTCCCTGTTGGTGGAAGGCCACTTCCTGGTGAAAGGGAGTCCGTGAGACTCCCTTTTCTGTCCCTCACTGTGTCCTACCAACCATGCCCTCCCCTTTATCCCGTCACTCCCTGTGCCGGCGGGGTCTCCCCTCAGTATTAGCTGCCATGGTTGCCCTGTCCTCCAGACAACAGGGAGAGGAGCCCAGCTGGGCCTTTTGCCAAACTAGGGAGAGAGACTGGATGCCTCCCTGACTGTTTTGAGCCAGGCACTTCAGAGGGGCCAGCTGGGTGCCCAAAGTCACTGGGCTGGATGTGGGGGGGGCCTTCAAGAGAACTCTGCACCTCTACACCCATTCCGGTTAATACCTTCACATCTCACTTTCCCTTCTGGGGGAAAAAACGCTGATTCCTACAGTATCCACCCAGTCCTCAGGGCCTCCTTCGGGACCCCGGGGCACTGCCATGCCATTAGGACCCAGAGACCCAGGCCTCCCTACCCTGTTCCTCATCCTGGGATATGACGTGTGGTATTTCCTGTGGTAAAAGACTGAGGCGGTTTAGGAGTCTGCCAGTATACATGTCCCAATGTACATATGTTGTCCCCATGCCCACCCCCAACCTTGGCACCTGGGCAGACCCGGGGCAGCGTGGGTGAGACTGCTATCCATGGCTTTGTCCCAGCTACCTGCGGCCAAGGGCTCCTAGAGACCCCCTTAACCCGCACCCCCAAATACTAAGAAGCTAAAGTATTTTAATTTTTTTTTTTCTTGGTGCCAGAGTTTATACCCTGGGTGCTGGGGTCGCACTGTGTTTTTATATATATATATATATATATATATATATATATAAATATATATATATATATATATATATATATAAATATATATATATAATGTGTATATATATATATATTATATTTTTTTTGGTTGGGTTTGTTTTTAATTCAGTCATACAAAATGGTGGCAAGCCCCAGTGTCCTGTCTCAGTGCTAAAGAATGAAATGGAAGGGAGGGGAGGGCGTGTCTTCGTGTGTCTGGGCCTTGGGGAGACACTGTGGGGGTGCCTCTTGGAGAGGTGTCTGTTCCCTTCCCAAGTGTCGCTGCTACCCTGGGGCTACTGCAGCTGAACAGAGGTGGTGAGGCACCCAGGGAAGACCCGCTCTCTCCGGGACAGCTGGCCTCATGAAGCTCAGTGACCCTGGAGGAATTTTGGCCAAAGGAGACAGCAGGGCTGGGGTGGGAGGCCAGGGGGCTGAAGGCCGGCCTGTCCCCTCCTTGTCACATGGTGCTAGGTTGGGAGCCGCCCTGGGAGCTGGGCTGCCCGCCAGGACCCACAGAACTGTCTCCAGGCCCCCTGCGGACCACGGGATCTCGGGGCTGTTTTCCGGTTAGGGTCTGCTCCCACCCTCTTCTTTAACAATGTGAAGTGACTAAGGCGGGGTGCCTCTCCCTGGCCCCTCCCACTGCCAGTCAGCTTCCAGCCAACATCCAGAAAACCCTTTCTGGAGAGCCTTGTCCTGTTAAGAAGACTCTAGCATCTTGGGGCTGGAAGGGTCCTTTGACGGGTATGGAAACAGAAAGGCAAGGCGGCCTCCTTGGCCAACGTCTCAGAACTGGGTGAGAGCAGGGTGGAGAATTAAATCTGAGGCTCCTGATTCTGGGTCCAGTGTTCTTCTTTCAATGCCACACTGCCTCTGAGCCCATCCTGGGGACCCTACTCTGTGCCAGCTTCCTATCCCTCCCTCAGTCACACCTGTGGTCATCCAGGATAGGGGACAAACCACTCCTTCCCAGCCAGGGTGCCTTTGAGCCTTCTCCGTTCCTGGTCTGCACATGCAGTCCTGCCTTGCTCTCCCTGAGAGGTCCTCCCCCGGTCTGTGGGGGGCGGGGGGGGCCGGGTCTGTCTGACCTCTGAACCCAAGCCCTTTTCTCAAGTTCTTCGCTGGCAGTGGAGAAGAAAGGGGGATACTCAGCGGGACGGCTGCGTGTGGGTTCACTGTCTTCCGAGAGAAGCCTTCCCACCATGCTTCTCATTGGGGCCTTCGAGGCTGGGAACCCAGCGTCAAGCCCGCAGGGGATGAGGAACAGTGTCTGGGGACAGGGTGGCACGCCTGCTTGTATGCTTGTGAAGACTTGCCAGTGCCGTGGAACCTGACCCTCGGAGAAGGGGGCAGCATCTTCCACAGTGCGGACCCCAGGCCTCCTCTCCCATCTTGCGGCAAGGGGCTCGGGCTCCGTGGCCTGTGCTACACCTTTACAGCTCCCACTGCTGAGATCTACCCTCTGTGTCTGGACACCTGCCCCTCTCTCTGGGAGCTCGGAATGGCCAGTGCGCTGGCAGATCCATTTCTTTCTGCCTCTGGCCCGAGGAAGGAGCAGGCAGATTGGAGGCCCCGGCAGATGCCTGTGGGAGCAGAGGAAGTGGTGGGGAATGTTGTCTAGGTCCTTCTGAAAGGCTGGGCACTTGACTTGCCACGTGTTCTGAGTCTGTCTGGTCCCTGCTACTTCTTCCCTTCCCACTCATGAATCTAGCTCGTGGACCCACTGCCAGGAACTGTAGCTACTGGGGAGGGGGCACAGACAAATCCCTCTAGGGGCCCTCAGCTACTGAGCACACAGATCTTCCTCATGAGAGGGCAAACCCGAGGGCAGTAGGTACGGCATCTCTGCATCCTCAGTGTCCCCTAATGCACTGTGTTTGGCCAGAGAGAGAGAAACAGTTTAAATCATGGAGTGGACGCTGCCGACCATTTTCTCATCCCTCCCATGAGCCTTTGCTTGGGGCAGGCGCAGGTGGGATGTCCCCTGTGACTGCCTCAGCCACTTGGGGTTCTAGAACCACCCATAGTGCACGTCTTGCGTGTGGAGGAGTCTGAGGTTTCAAGATGGGCCTCTTCCAGGCCTGTGAGAAGAAGCAGCCGGGGCCTCAGGGGCCCTGCTGAGGGAACAGACATCTGTTCCCCATGGAGGATGACTAGGCTGACCCACAGAGATGGGTGCCCTTAGGAGGGAATGGTCCCCACCGGTTTGTGAGGGAAAGAGCAAGTGAAAACACGTACAATTATTTTATTATGAACACCTACTATCCTCCATCTAGAGTTAAAATGAACATTCTGCCACATTTGATTTCTCTCTCTCTGTATGTATGAATTTTTTTCCAAACTAGTTTAAAAGTGAGTTGCAGATATCACGAGACTGGACCAAAATGCCTCGGCCCACATCCCCAGAGAGTTAAGACATCATGGTATGTCTTGGCTGGTATCACACCCGAGACAACAGTGATTTCCTAAGAACATCTGCTATTGAATCCATGTTTGCTCCCCCACCCCCATAACTTTTATGCCTGGTTTTAGAATCAGGATCTGCTCAAGTTGCATACATGATATCTTGTAACTGCAGTTTTTGTTCAGTCTCTCCCCTCTCTGGTTGCTTTGGTTCTTTAAATGATGTTATTTCTGAGGAGAGCAGACCCCGTGTCCTATTGAAGTCCCACATCTGGATCTCTGTGATCATTTCTTCATGGTGTCACAGAATGTGCTCCTCTAGCGCCTGTCTTGTCCAGGGTGATTTAGGCTGCATGGATTTCCGCCTCCTGTGCTGACTTGACATCTTCACTCCAGCCTGAGATGCCTCTCTCTTGTCCCCTGTACCAAGTGCCAAACCAGCAGCAGGGCTCGGTGGAGCCCAGGGAGCTCAGGGGAGGGCAAAGGAGGCAACCCTTGCAGCTGGGCCTGCTGGGAAGGAGATGCCTCCGGCCCAGAAGAGCCTGTGCTGCCCGCTCTGATCCTGGCGATGGGCCACAGGGCAACGAATAGCATGTCTGTCTGTCTGTCTGTCTGTCTCTCTGTTTTGTGGCCTCCCGGTTTTTACTTCCTGGAGGTCCGTGGTCTGTGTGCACTGGAACAGAGCCAGGCCCCTGGGATGCACCAGGGAAGGGCCTAAGCGGGGAACTGCCTCCCCCAAGCTGTAGTGTGAGGAGGAGAGCCTGGGGCAGGAGATGTGAAATTTCGTCCCAACTGGGTATGTTTAGTAGCTACGTCACGGTTTCCCCTCCAGGGCCTCAACTTCCCCATTTATAAGATGTGCAGATGGGGCTATAGCAGGGGTTTTCAAATGTCCAAGAAGAAAGCAGGTCTGCTCTAGTGGAAGTGAGGGTGGAGGGCCCAGACCCCTGCCCTCGAGGCAATGCTGGATGCCTGGTTTGCAACCCTGGGCCGGCTGCCCCCCAGGGCTCGTCTTTGTCAGCCAGAGATTTTTGGCAGGGGCGTGGGCTTTGTGAGGGGTCAATGTCAAGGGTCTGGGGAGACTCTGGTTGTGTTTTATCCTAATAAGTTCATCCCTCCCTCTCTTCTCCCTCTCTCTGGCTCTTGAGGAGAATGAAGGAGGAGAGAGGGCTTTCTATGACTGTGCTAGCTTTTATTATCAGCAAGAGGGCTCCTTTTGTAATTTGCATGAAATTCATGTCATTTCCTGGGGAGAGGAGAGGGCTGACTGGAGAGGGTGGGGGGCACGCTAGGGGAGCAGACAGGTTTCCTTCCCTTGTGGGGGTTGGGAGAGGGGGGAGAGGGGGTGCTGCCCAGCTCACCTGATCAGGGCTCTCAAACCAGCCGTTTTGGGTTGTGTTAAAAGTGGGAACCTTCCTCCATTAATGTACAATCTCGAACTAACTGCTAATAAAGTGGGGTTCTATTTGTACGCACTGGTCATGTCTGTGTGTCTTTGAACTTTAAGAAAGGCCGGTAGGGAAGGCGGCCATAGGGAGGTTCACACCACAGCCAATCTGGCCGCCCGTGTGTATGGCGGGGATGTCATTTTACTATTTGATCCCCTGTTTCCCTCGTCCTTGAGGGGTGTGGAGAAACTTGGATGCAGTGGCCGTTCCTGGAGAACTTGGTAGAAATGCAAATCCCCTGCCTGCATGCCCAGAGAGTCATCACTGGCAGATGTGAGGTAGGGCCCAGCCGTCTGCATTTTAACCTCTCCACGCGGAGGCACCACACATTGGGAAACCCTCAGGACCCTCTGCGAAACTTTAAAACAATGTACCTCCCTGGACTCCCCAGAATGCGCTCTTTCAGAACCTCTGGGAGTGGGACCCAGTTAAGTGCTTTTTAACCAAGTCCCTGATGCACGGGAAGATGTGGGAACGCTGACCCAGGGCACTGAGTGCAAGGCAGAGAAGGGCCAGAGGAGCGTGGACAGCTGCTGGGGGGCGTGCGAGGACACAGCTGGGAACACCAACACTCCAGCCCCGGTGCACAGGAGCAGCACTGGTGGAGACCTCACGGGTCGTCAGCTGGGAGCCTGGGATGGGCCATGTGGCATCGCCCACACTATGTGGCTGGAGGCTACAGTAATGGGAGCAGCTCCAGAAGGCACGATACAGAAGTGTTCCCGTGCCAGTTAGGGGGTCTGGCCACATCAGAGATTCTTGAATTTTAAAATAGCCGGTATTTGTTTTTCAAAAAGAAATATTGAAAACTGGGTAAAGGGTACTCCTGTTGGAATGGGGTCAGGGTCTGGGCTCTCACCAGGTCCCCCATATTATCTCAGAACCCCCAAATCCTTGAAACACAGTGTGAAAATCCAGCCCAGCTGCTTTCAGAGGTCCCAAGAGTCTGCATTTCTTCTTCTTTTTTAATATTTCATTTATTTGAGAGAGAGAGAGAGAGAGTGCAAGCCAAGAGGAAAGGCAGAGGGAGAAGCAGACTCCCCGCTGAGCAGTGAGCCCAAAGCAGGACTTGATCCCAAGACCC